GTGCATGTGAGGAACCTTCAAGGCGTCATTCTTTTGTAGAACAAAACTCGGGGTTCGGGTTAACTGTGTATCTGCATATATCAAGTGCACAAAGAAGGATTAAAAGTTTGTCTATTTTTTGCATGCAGGTTGAGAGATTTTATTTTAATTATAATAGAACAATTATGATGTTAGATAATCCACATGTTATGTGCCAATTTCTTTTTAAAATTTTATTCTCATTTATTAATATTGGTTAAATCTTGCTTAAGTACGATCTCCAAATTAATATATATATATATATATATATTCTCCAAAAATATTCCTCTTCTTCAATTATCTTTGTCTCTCCCCTGCTCTATTTCTCATATACCTTTACTAATGCACAAAATTTCTGCAACTTCCTCAATTTCAGTTCCTTTGCTTTCTCAATAAACACCAACGATTGCCACCTTTTTGGTGGAGGCAAAAGAATAGATGGAAAGTTGCTGGAGTTGAGCTTCCAAAAGCAACTCTCTCTCTTGCTAACAAATCAAGTCTCTCTAAAATTTCAAATAAAAATTTGTATTATATAATTTATCCATCAAATTCTGTGATTTTCACCTAATACATGTGTTTGTATACTTTCAATTTTTCTCTGCAATCTAGATGTTTCTTCTTTAAAGTTGGGTTTGATGAATTTGAGTTTTGGAAAAACCGGATTTGGACCGAACTTCCATTTGGAGATGAGGAATCATGGCAATACTTCTTCAAATACTCTCTCTATTCTCTTTATTTAGAGATTATTTTTTTTTGATGTATTTTTTATACAAAGAATTTTACTTTCAATATTAATTTTGGGATGCAAGCCAAGTTAAAAAGACTAAAATGTTCTTGGAATGTATGTGTTTGTTTTAAAATTAAAGCTCAACAATCAAGGAAAGTAGTAGACACAAATATTCTCAGCATTTAATGTACGCATTTAATGTACGCGTGTTTCAAGTGACAAGTTATCAACAACTCACTCCGTTTCGTTTTATAGTAACATCCGTCATTTTTATAAATATGGCCACAAAATTCAAGTTATAATACTAAAAGTCAAAATAATGCCACATAAATTTAAAGTTAGCCTTATTTGTATGTTTGATGAATATATGTCAACTTTTATCATTATAAATTTGGCTACAACTGTTAATATAAAAAACGAATATATGTTATATTCAATTAAGTTTTGAAAAACGATTTCTTTTTAAAAATGTGGGTGTTTTGATTATTGAAAAAAAATAGGAAAAATAGAGTTTGGTTAGAAACCGTTCTCTTATTAATCATGCACTTTTAAAAATAATTTTTTTTCAAATCCTTGTTATGGTTGTATTCTTTTGTAAGTCACTTTGTGGATTTTTGTTAATAGTAGTTGTAAACTGTTGTAAACCATTTTGAGGCCTTGTTATTATTAGTGGTGCACTTTTTCAATAGTTTTTGTTTTCTGTGTTAGGTAACAGTTGTGAACTTTTATAAGCCACTTTGTGACTTTGTTATTATTAGTTGTGCACTTATCTAAGCCATTTTGTGGCCTTGTTATTATTATTTCTGCACTTTTTTAAATCCTTATAATGGTTGTACTCTTTTATAACATATTTTATGACTTTATTATTATTGGTTGTGCATTTTTCAAAATGTGAAAAAGTTTAAATTCTATTTCATTTTGACCACAACGTGTTGAATTTCATTTAAATTTGGATAAAACAAATTTTGTTTTTAATTGAAAAACTATTTAAGTTTAAACAAGTTAGAGCCAAAATTGAAGTCTTCCCTCCTTTATTTTCGCAGAAAATTTTAGAAATTTATGGCATTCAATAAATAAGTTAAAAAATTTTGCCTTCAATTTGGCTCCAAATTTTTTTTTGTTTTTAGAAACATATTATATAAAACGTTTCCATTCTAATAAAGTGTGAGAGAATTAATAAAGAAGGTATGAAATGAAGCCCAAAGGATTTAAGTAGGCAATAAACATACTTTTTGATACTGACTTTTGTGTCGGTTATTGTTTCCACAATTAATGAAGAAATGAATGGCATTTTAGAGAGAAAATTTCATTTAACTAACTTTCTTAATCTAAGATTTTTTTTTTCTCTAAATAAAGAGAATAAAGGGAATAATTTCATATCAAATGGATGTTATGTATTTGATTTGAATTTAAGGTTATGCATAAAGATTTATATCGATTTTTTTTTGTTAATGATCTCATATCAATTTTGATGAAAATGTAGAAGGAAATATCTTTTTGATGAAAGGAGAGAAAAAAAATAAAAAATACTTTCAATATTAAGGGCATATTTAAGGTTTGAGTATTCAAAAGGTAACTATAATCAAGTTCGGGATGAGTTCGAAGAGTGAATTTTTAAACGGATTCTGATACCTAATTTATAATTAGGTTCAGATTCAAATAATGCATTTTAAGCGGGTATCCAATCCTTTGCCATCCCGGTGAAGACCAAGTGATCCGGGAAAGACTTTTTTGATGTTATTTAAGTGCCACTTCTTTTATTGTTTTTAATTTCTTTTCATGTTTTTGTGACTAAAACTTTTTCTTTATTTATCACTCTTTTTAATTACTATAAAAAAACAAGTTATAAACCATGTAATTTAACTAGCTAGCTAGAAGATTTTCATATTACAATAATTAATTAATGCTACAATCTAGGGCCATCAAATATGCTTACGTGTTGATAAAATTGTAAAAATTTATATGATACATGTTATTTGAATTACAAAAATTAATTACTTAAGTAACGAAAATGATTAAATTGCCTTTAAAAAATTTAATAGTTGAAAATAAAATTTCCTTTTTTTTTATTAAAAGAAATCTAAAAAGAGTATTATTTAAGTATTATTTATCAAAAAACAAAATTTTCGTTTCCTACGAAAAAACAATCAGAAAACTTACACACCTTAAAAATGATAAATACTATTTTCTATAAAAACAAATTCTAAATTTTAAATCATGCGCTATAAAATATGACTCACATATCGATAAAGTCTTTTACTACATATCGATAAAAAATTTTATTATAATTAAAGAATTTTTAACATTTTCATGAATCTATCTGAAGTCAATAGACTTCTCCGATATACCAAAGCTAGCTTGTAATGTTAAACAAAAACTTGGATAAACAATACAACTGAGAGAGCTTTCATAAGTGATGGTGACGTCTACCACCGTACAAAGTCGTATTCGTTGTTTTGATCTAGCAGTGGCAATGGTTGATCCAATAAATGATCAAAAAGTAAATCATTATGAACTGGAGCTTTCTCTGCCACTTGGTGCTGCAAAATCAGATGTGAAGGGGAAGCAAGGTTTATAATTATGAGCCATTGGATGTGAATAAACTTGCTCAAAAATCATTAAATTTGTCTATGTCAAAATTATAATAAATTTTAGTTTACTCAATATGCAATAATAATAGCAATACAAAATATGGGATTGTTAATTTATTAATTCACATAATTAGTAGTTTTTAAAAATACAAAATCAATATTTTGATTAACACATAATAAAAATAATATTTATCCGCTTAAAACCAACACTTAATCAACTATAGGAGAGTTATCGTTTCATCTCAACCAAATGGTCATTTCAGCTACTATAAAAAATCAAGTTTATAAATAATTTTTTTCATACTATAGCAATCCATATGATTTAAAATTCACCTTTTTTGTTTCTTCCGTAAAATGAATGTTAAGCTTTTTTGTTCTCTCTTCAGGAATTCCTTTTATTTCTATACCTTTGGGTTCAAACATATTTTTTTCGTGTGGTCTGCAATTTTTTCGTAAATGCGTGTTTGATTAGATCGTCATTCCACCAAAAAAACATTATTGACCAAACACCTTCCAAGAAGATTTTTGTTGAACCAACTTAATTTGAGTAGAGCTGGTTCAACCTTCCAATTACTTTTTCCCCTCAAAGATCCACATATACATGTACTTTTTTTTATAACATTTAAAGAAGAATAACTAAAAAAAATAAAAAATCTTAAAAAGATTATCTTTATCTAATTATATTCTATCCTATAAGTATTATATAAAATATATCTAATGACAAATATTAAAATTATCTAAAAAAAATTAGAATTCAAATTCATGCGACATAAAATTTTCTTCTAGTTATTAATTTTTAAAAAAATAAAAATTATTGCTAATCATTTGAATTGTGTATATAAAATTATGCATATAAGAGCAGTTTATAAGCTTATAAAGGATAAATAAATTATTACAGCCATGAATTTTCTTTTTAATTAAGAAACTTGTAAAATATATTAATTGCAGGTTCTATATTCCAATTAGAAAGTTGAAGTTATAAATTCATGATACATGACCTTTAATATATAAATTATAAACCAACAATTTTTATTCAAAAGCTAGATGAGTACATAAAAATTTATTTTTAAAACTTTGTAAAGACATAATTTACGGCGAAAAATAAAATTGATCAAGTTGAAACCTTAAAGATCAATGAATTTTTAAATAATTATTTTATATTATAAAGCGTGCTAATTATTATTTAAAATGTAAATAGAACATTTTTATGACTAAATAGACAATATGGAGTTATTTTGTTTAAAAATGATTAAATGAATTTAAGACAAGCAATTAATTAGTTAAAACTGCAAAGTAAGAAATAGATAAAAGTACATTTATTATATTTTAATATATTAATATTATATAAGGTAAGATTTATAAGTCAAAAACGTGGCGAAAAATTATTTAATTTATTTAAATTTAAAAATATTGTATTAAAAAATTTATAATATGGAAAATAGATCTTTTGAAGGTTTTAAATATGGAATTAACAGTTTGCGCGGATTCACGCAAGGAGGATTGCATATAATGGGTTTCGAGTAGTGAAGTACTTCTAGTAGAAGTAATAGTAAGTGAGTGGTGGTGTGTGGAGAAATAAAGAAAGAAAGTCGATGCTTGGAAAGGAAAGAAGAAAGAAAGAAAGATAAACGACGAAGAAAGAAAGCGAGCGAGAGAGCAAAACCATGGCGGAAAATCCATTTATGCTGTCGGTTGGGTATCGCTTCTGTCCCACAGAGGAAGAACTCGTTTGCTTTTATCTTCAAGAGAAGCTTCACAAAACGCTGCCCGTTATTGCAGATGCAGTTATAAAAACCCTTGATGACCTTTATAGCGATGAGCCTTGGAATATTTTCTGCAACGAGACGCCGGAAAATGGTTACTTCTATGTTTTTACCAAGTTGAAGACAAGGAGCGCAAACAGAAGTAAGAGAACAACTCCTTCTGGAACCTGGACAGGCCGGAGTTCTAAGGACATCCCTTGCCGTAATATTACGTATGTGAGGAAATATTTTGTCTTTGAAGCAAAGGGTGAAGGTGGTTCTTCCTCGAATGGCCACTGGACTATGCACGAGTTCTCGTTAAAAGATGAAGGGGTAAGTAATTTTTTTCATTTCTGATCGTAAATTTAAGGGTCTTATTTTCTTTTGGTTTATAATATTTTCTGATAGTAAATTTAGGGTTTTTATTTTCTTTTGGTTTATAATCTTTCTAAAATCTGTTATATGTGGGTCTGATGTTTCTAAAATCTGATCGCAGTTCGTATTGACTTTTGCAGTTTAAGGGAGATTATGTCCTTTGTAAAATCAAACGTGAAGACAAGTCTGAACAAGGAACGGCTGCAACTGTTCCTTTTCTTGATGGGAAGAAGAGAAAATCTTCTGTTGAGAAAGAAGAAGAGAACGACAACTCAAAGAAGATGCGACAGGACAATCTGAGTCCTGTAAACTCTAACTCTAGCTGGCATCTTTCAAATGAGGGTTTGGTTGATTACAATAGCAGTCCTTTTCTTGATGGGAAGAAGAGAAAATCTTCTGTTGATAAAGAAGAAGAGAACGACAACTCAAAGAAGATGCGACAGGACAATCTGAGTCCCGTAAACCCTAACTCTAGCTGGCATCTTTCTAATGAGGGTTTGGTTGATTACAATAGCAGTTTTTCCAATCAAATTGCAGAGATAGAAGCTCCAATAAATGATACAGATATTGGGGTTTATGATAATTTGTTGGATGAACTGCTAGAACGATGGTGTTAGTTATCACCACTTTTTTGTTTAACATTTTCAGGCTAGTTTGGGTGTATGGGGGAGGCCTATTGGCTTGGGGTAGATTCCTGAAAATATTAAACATTTCCTTGTTTTCATTTGTAGTAGAATTTTTTTTTTGTTGCTAATACAAAAAACAACAGTATTTGAATTTGTTGCTCACTCTTTTATGTTTACATATTGTTCTCAAAGAATTTTAGACAGCAATTCTAATGAGAAGTTAATATTAATAAACTTGACTACTGAACTTAATCGTTGTATTTGTAAAGAATATGGCATGATGAGCGGTGGTGATGGCACCTCAATAATCTTCCACTGTTGAGTTGTATTTCATTGTTAAACCAAACAAACATTAAATACTACTTTACGATTTTCTAAAAAAAAAAAAAAGAAAAAAAGACTGAATACAAGCAATTTATTTAATTATTTTGGCCTTGCCTATGTGTTAACTGAGCAAAAGGAGAGCACAAGAAAAATAAGACTGAAAATAACTGTTGTTTGCATATCAGTGTACAGCTACGCACATATTGTGCTATATACATATTAGGCTAACTAAATATTTACTTTAACAAGAACTATCTTACTACGTTGTGTTACTTCTGTAGCATATACAGAGTAAAAATAAATTACAGCATTTTCTTTTTCTTTAAATTGACTGCATATCTTGATTTCCCATGAAATTTTGAGTATTTTGGTGTATGATTCCTTTGGTTTGGCTGAGTTTTGATTTTCCTATCACCATGCAAGTTGGCAGTTGCGACGACGCTCCAACAATTAGTTTTTTGAAAATACAAGGATACTTGAGTTAGTTTTGATATTTTATGGGGAAAATCATAATTTTCTCTTTATCTCTCTCCTTTGACTAATCTTTTTGCATTGACTTAGTGTGGAAAGTGGGAAAATTGGAGGGAAGGATAGAATAGTTAGACGGAACCAAAATTTAAGAATATATAATGTATTTTGCAAAATATAAGGATATGCGAGTTAATTTTAATATTTTATAGGGACGGAATCTTAATTTTTTAATATTTAATTACTTTTAATCATATTTCATTTATGTTAAATAATTTATTTTTTGGAACAAAAATTGACAATTTTGTACTTTTGGTGTAAGTTTTGTAAAAAAAAAGTTAATTTTTGAACAAATTAGAGGTTCAGAGTGCAAATTTAAGCTTATTTTTTTTACCTTTAACTTTTTCTCTCTCTCCTATCTCCAATCCAAGGCAGCCAAACAAAAAATATTTTTAACCCTTTCCAAAGATAACTCTTGTGTGTGTGTGTGTGTGTGTGTGTGTGTGTGTGTGTGTGTGTGTGTTTTTTTTTTTTTTTTTTGAAACTCAAGTAATACCAAGTAAATTTTTCTTGATTTTCCTAAAAGGCATGATAGGAAGAACCCAGTCTTCGTATCGTTCATTAATCGCTAGCCAAACAACATGAACAACAATCTCCAAGGCAGGTCCAACATCATGAGTTGATAGCCATTAAATTATTAATTAATTATCTAACGGCAATTTCAATAACATTTTACTTTCCAAAGATAATTTTTATTTTAGAATAAGGCTTGATTTGGCTCTCTGAACTTAGACGCAAAGTACAATTGGATTAAAAATTAACTTTTTATATAATTTGTCCCTTGAATTTGCACGAAAAGAACAAAATGCGCAGTTTTTTAAGAATTTTTTTTTATAGTTTTAACTGATAAATATTACTTTCACATTTAAAATTACAAAATAAAAATATTTAAAAATATAATAATAGTTATAAGAATTTACATTATTTGATTTAAAAATAATTTAACAAATATTTCATTTAAAAAAAATTATAGAACTAGAAAAGGATTTGGTTATATTGAAATATTTTGTTAGAGATTGTTTATTATTATTTGTTTGATTATTTTTAATTTATATTTGATTTAGATCAAATACTTAAGAAAAAGTTACGATTTTATCCCTATAAAAAATTAAAATTAACTCGCATATCCTTGTATTTTGAAAAATATATTATATATTCCTAAATTTTGCTTCCGTTTTCCGTTTTACTATCCTAACCTTCTGTCTATATTTTGTATTGTTCCGTTAAAATGCTTAAAGAAAAGGCAAAAATACCCTAGGAGGATGTTTTCTTTCTTCTTGTTGGCGAAAATACACAAAAAAGTATATTTCTGATCGACCTTCAATGTTTATTTTGCTTGTATAAGTCTCAAATCTTTGATTCTTCTTTTCAAGAGAAATATGAGAATAACCTAAATGAGGAACAATCGTGAGAAGTATATTTAAACCTGTCGTTATCAATGTCTAAACATATTGTTTGCTTCAATGAACCAAAAGAAACAGAAAAAAGGCAGTATCTATATTAAGCTTATTGTTACAACAAAAGGGGCCATACGTATCAACTTTCCCTTGTGTTGTGTTGCAATGTGTTGATGGTCCCATTTATGTTACAGAGTTGCAGGAGATAGAGTTGCCTGCAAAGAATTGGCCGATGTAGACGAGTGGGAAGATTCCCAAAGACCTTGCGCTTTGATCCCGTGTAACTTCACAAACTAGTGGACTTGTTTGTAGGCAAAATTTACAAAGATTAGCCATTTAATTCGGTTAGTAGTTCCTCAGACATATGAATGCTGCCTATTAATGATCTTTTATTTTTTTGTTGATAACCTAGGTGATATAGCATTCCTTGAATCAAACGTCAATAAGTCAAAAGGCAACTATATATGACTGACTCATATGGATTTTGGAATAATGTCTATGCGCATTTAGGATGGCTGAAGCAATTGAGCCTCATTTGACGTCCATAACACCCACAAGATCTAAAAAACAAACATTAAAACATTACCTGAAGCAGCCTCATGGTGCTGGTAATTATTTAGGCTGTTAGGCCTAACTAAAGTTGTTGCTTAATGCAGATATTCTACTGTGGGATGTTCATCTTTTGGCGAAGAATTACGATTTCTCTGTCCAAAACCTGTTTTGGATAGCAGTTGGTATAGTTCTATTAATGATGCATTGTTTTAAGTGCTCCCTAATTCAGTGCATGTGAGGGAAAGCCTTCAAGGGTCATTCTTTTTGAGAAAAACTCGGGTGGATTAACTTGTACTTGCAATCAAGAGTTGCAACAAATAAGGATAAAGTTTGTCTATTTTTTTGCTATGCAGGTGAGAGATTTTATTTTAATTGATAATAGAACAATATGATTTAATTCACATGTTATGTGCAATTCTTTTTAAAATTTTATCTCATTTATAAAATATTGGTTAAATCTTTGTTATTATTAATTTAATTAATTATTTATATATATATATATATATATATTCTCCAAAAATATTCCTCTTCTTCAATTATCTTTGTCTCTCCCCTGCTCTATTTCTCATATACCTTTACTAATGCACAAAATTTCTGCAACTTCCTCAATTTCAGTTCCTTTGCTTTCTCAATAAACACCAACGATTGCCACCTTTTTGGTGGAGGCAAAAGAATAGATGGAAAGTTGCTGGAGTTGAGCTTCCAAAAGCAACTCTCTCTCTTGCTAACAAATCAAGTCTCTCTAAAATTTCAAATAAAAATTTGTATTATATAATTTATCCATCAAATTCTGTGATTTTCACCTAATACATGTGTTTGTATACTTTCAATTTTTCTCTGCAATCTAGATGTTTCTTCTTTAAAGTTGGGTTTGATGAATTTGAGTTTTGGAAAAACCGGATTTGGACCGAACTTCCATTTGGAGATGAGGAATCATGGCAATACTTCTTCAAATACTCTCTCTATTCTCTTTATTTAGAGATTATTTTTTTTTGATGTATTTTTTATACAAAGAATTTTACTTTCAATATTAATTTTGGGATGCAAGCCAAGTTAAAAAGACTAAAATGTTCTTGGAATGTATGTGTTTGTTTTAAAATTAAAGCTCAACAATCAAGGAAAGTAGTAGACACAAATATTCTCAGCATTTAATGTACGCATTTAATGTACGCGTGTTTCAAGTGACAAGTTATCAACAACTCACTCCGTTTCGTTTTATAGTAACATCCGTCATTTTTATAAATATGGCCACAAAATTCAAGTTATAATACTAAAAGTCAAAATAATGCCACATAAATTTAAAGTTAGCCTTATTTGTATGTTTGATGAATATATGTCAACTTTTATCATTATAAATTTGGCTACAACTGTTAATATAAAAAACGAATATATGTTATATTCAATTAAGTTTTGAAAAACGATTTCTTTTTAAAAATGTGGGTGTTTTGATTATTGAAAAAAAATAGGAAAAATAGAGTTTGGTTAGAAACCGTTCTCTTATTAATCATGCACTTTTAAAAATAATTTTTTTTCAAATCCTTGTTATGGTTGTATTCTTTTGTAAGTCACTTTGTGGATTTTTGTTAATAGTAGTTGTAAACTGTTGTAAACCATTTTGAGGCCTTGTTATTATTAGTGGTGCACTTTTTCAATAGTTTTTGTTTTCTGTGTTAGGTAACAGTTGTGAACTTTTATAAGCCACTTTGTGACTTTGTTATTATTAGTTGTGCACTTATCTAAGCCATTTTGTGGCCTTGTTATTATTATTTCTGCACTTTTTTAAATCCTTATAATGGTTGTACTCTTTTATAACATATTTTATGACTTTATTATTATTGGTTGTGCATTTTTCAAAATGTGAAAAAGTTTAAATTCTATTTCATTTTGACCACAACGTGTTGAATTTCATTTAAATTTGGATAAAACAAATTTTGTTTTTAATTGAAAAACTATTTAAGTTTAAACAAGTTAGAGCCAAAATTGAAGTCTTCCCTCCTTTATTTTCGCAGAAAATTTTAGAAATTTATGGCATTCAATAAATAAGTTAAAAAATTTTGCCTTCAATTTGGCTCCAAATTTTTTTTTGTTTTTAGAAACATATTATATAAAACGTTTCCATTCTAATAAAGTGTGAGAGAATTAATAAAGAAGGTATGAAATGAAGCCCAAAGGATTTAAGTAGGCAATAAACATACTTTTTGATACTGACTTTTGTGTCGGTTATTGTTTCCACAATTAATGAAGAAATGAATGGCATTTTAGAGAGAAAATTTCATTTAACTAACTTTCTTAATCTAAGATTTTTTTTTTCTCTAAATAAAGAGAATAAAGGGAATAATTTCATATCAAATGGATGTTATGTATTTGATTTGAATTTAAGGTTATGCATAAAGATTTATATCGATTTTTTTTTGTTAATGATCTCATATCAATTTTGATGAAAATGTAGAAGGAAATATCTTTTTGATGAAAGGAGAGAAAAAAAATAAAAAATACTTTCAATATTAAGGGCATATTTAAGGTTTGAGTATTCAAAAGGTAACTATAATCAAGTTCGGGATGAGTTCGAAGAGTGAATTTTTAAACGGATTCTGATACCTAATTTATAATTAGGTTCAGATTCAAATAATGCATTTTAAGCGGGTATCCAATCCTTTGCCATCCCGGTGAAGACCAAGTGATCCGGGAAAGACTTTTTTGATGTTATTTAAGTGCCACTTCTTTTATTGTTTTTAATTTCTTTTCATGTTTTTGTGACTAAAACTTTTTCTTTATTTATCACTCTTTTTAATTACTATAAAAAAACAAGTTATAAACCATGTAATTTAACTAGCTAGCTAGAAGATTTTCATATTACAATAATTAATTAATGCTACAATCTAGGGCCATCAAATATGCTTACGTGTTGATAAAATTGTAAAAATTTATATGATACATGTTATTTGAATTACAAAAATTAATTACTTAAGTAACGAAAATGATTAAATTGCCTTTAAAAAATTTAATAGTTGAAAATAAAATTTCCTTTTTTTTTATTAAAAGAAATCTAAAAAGAGTATTATTTAAGTATTATTTATCAAAAAACAAAATTTTCGTTTCCTACGAAAAAACAATCAGAAAACTTACACACCTTAAAAATGATAAATACTATTTTCTATAAAAACAAATTCTAAATTTTAAATCATGCGCTATAAAATATGACTCACATATCGATAAAGTCTTTTACTACATATCGATAAAAAATTTTATTATAATTAAAGAATTTTTAACATTTTCATGAATCTATCTGAAGTCAATAGACTTCTCCGATATACCAAAGCTAGCTTGTAATGTTAAACAAAAACTTGGATAAACAATACAACTGAGAGAGCTTTCATAAGTGATGGTGACGTCTACCACCGTACAAAGTCGTATTCGTTGTTTTGATCTAGCAGTGGCAATGGTTGATCCAATAAATGATCAAAAAGTAAATCATTATGAACTGGAGCTTTCTCTGCCACTTGGTGCTGCAAAATCAGATGTGAAGGGGAAGCAAGGTTTATAATTATGAGCCATTGGATGTGAATAAACTTGCTCAAAAATCATTAAATTTGTCTATGTCAAAATTATAATAAATTTTAGTTTACTCAAATTATATAAGCCTAAATAGTTATCTCTAATATTATAATATAACATTAGGTAGGTTAAAAATCATATGAATATGCATATAATAATAGCAAATACAAAATATCGGGGATTTTAATTAATCACATAATTAAGTGTTTTTAAAAATTACAAAATCTATGATTGTTGATAATCACATAATTAAAAATAAATTTATCCGTAAAACCAACACTTTAATCAACTATAAAGGAGAGTTATCGTTCATTCTATCAACCAAATGGTCGTCATTCAGCTACTATAAAATCTAAGTTTATAAATATTTTTTTTCATATATAGCAATTCCATATGATTTAAAATTCACCTTTTTTGTTTCTTCAGTAAAATGTGAATGTAAGCTTTGTTCTCTCTTCAGAATTCCTTTTACTCCTATTACCTTTGGGTTCAAACAATATTTTTTTCTGTGGTCTGCAATTTTTTCTAAATGGTGTTTGATTAGATCGTCATCTTCCACCAAAAAAATATGCCAAACACCTTCCAAGGAAGATTTTGTTGAACCAACTAATTTGAGTAGAGCTGGTTCAACCTTCCATACTTTTTCCCCTCAAATCCACATATACATGTACTTTTTTTTATAACAATTTAAGAAGAATACTAAAAAAAATAAAAATCTAAAAAGATTTATCTTTATCTATATATTTTCTATCCTATAACGTATTATATAAAATATTATCTAATGACAAATATAAAATTATCTAAAAAAAAATTAGAATTCAAATTCATGGACATAAAATTTTTCTTCTAGTGTTATTAATTTTTAAAAAAATAAAATTATTGCTTATCATTTGAATTGTGTATATAAAATATCATATAAGAGCAGTTTTATAAGTATAAAGGATAAATAAATTATTACAGCCATGAATTTCTTTTTAATTAAGAAACTTGTAAAATATATTAATTGCAGATTCTATATTCCAATTTAGAAATTGAAGGTTATAAATTCATGATACATGGACCTTTACATTATATAAATTATAAACCAAACAAATTTTATTCAAAAGCTAGATGAGTACATAAAAATTTATTTTTAAAACTTGTAAGACATAATTTACGGCGAAAATAAAATTGATCAAGTTGAAACTTAAAGATCAATGAATTTTAAATAATTATTTTATATATAAGATCAATGAATTTTAAATAATTATTTTATATATAAAGACGTGTAATTTGATATTTTTAAAAATTAAATAAACATTTTTATGACTAAATAGACAATATGGATTATTTTTTAAAAATGTAAATGAATTTAAGACAACAATTAATTAGTTAAACTGCAAAGTAGAAATAATAAAGTACATTTATATAATTTAATTTATAATTTAATATTATATAAGGGTAGAGATTTATAAGTCAAACGTTGGAAATATATTATTTAATTTTTTAATTAAAAAATATTGTATTAAAAATTTTATATATATGGAAAATAGATTTTTGAAGGTTAAATATGAATTACAGTTTGCGCTAGGATTCACGCAAGGGATGGATTGCTATATAATGGGTTTCGAGTAAGTGAGTGACTTCAGTAGAAGTAATTAGTAAGTTATATATATATATATATATGGAAAGTAGATTTTTGAAGGTTCAAAATAAGAATTATAGTTTGCAGTCGGTGCTGTGAGAAAGAAAGAAAGTCGGTGCTGTGAGAAAGAAAGAAAGAGAGAGAGCAAAACCATGGCGGGAAATCCATTTATGCTGCCGGTTGGGTATCGCTTCTGTCCCACAGAGGAAGAACTTGTTTGCTTTTATCTTCAAGAGAAGCTTCACAAAACGCTGCCCGTTATTGTAGACGCATTTATAAAAACCCTTGATGACCTTTATAGCGATGAGCCTTGGAATATTTTCTGCAACGAGACGCCGGTAAATGGTTACTTCTATGTTTTCACCAAGTTGAAGTCAAGGAGCGCAAAGAGAAGTATGAGAACAACTCCTTCCGGAACCTGGACAGCCCGGAGTTCTAAGGACATCCCTTGCCGTAATATTACGTATGTGAAGAAAGATTTTGTCTTTAAAGCAAAGGGTAAAGAAGCTTCTTCCTCGAATGGCCACTGGACTATGTTGGAGTTCTCATTAAAAGATGAACGGGTAAGTAATCTTTTTCATTTCTGATCGTAAATTTAGGGTTTTTATTTTCTTTTGGTTTATAATGTTTTCTGATCGTAGTTTTGTCCTAATTTTTAAAATCTCGTAAGTGGGTTTGATGTTTATGCTAATATAGTTCATATGGATTTTTGCAGTTTAAGGGAGATTATGTCATTTGTAAAATCAAACGTGCAGAAAATTCTGAACAAGGAACGGCGGCAACTGTTCCTTTTCTTGATGGGAAGAAGGATGGGAAGAAGAGAAAATCTTCTGTTGAGAAAGAAGAAGAGAACGACAACTCAAAGAAGATGCGACAGGACAATCTGAGTCCTGTAAACTCTAACTCTAGCTGGCATCTTTCAAATGAGGGTTTGGTTGATTACAATAGCAGTGAGAAGTAAGAAAGAGAAACCGACAACTCAAGAAAGAATTGCGACAGGACAATCTTGAGTTCTGTAAAACCCAACCCCTAGCTGGCAATTTTTCGAATGAGGTTTTTGTTGATTGCGAGAGCAAGTTTTTCCAAATCGAATTTTGCAGAGATAGAAGCTCCAATAAATGATACAGATATTGGGTTTTCTAGATGTAGTTTCCTCTCATCAAATCTGTAATTAGAGAAATCTTCCAATTTGGTTGATACCAGATATTGATGTTTTATGATTACTTATTGGATGACTGCTAGAACAATGGTGTTAGTTCATCAACCAGGTTTTTGTTTAAACATTTTCAGGCTAGTTTGGGGTATTGGGTAGGCCAATTGGCTTGGGGGTTAGTAGATTCCTGAAAATGTTAAACTTTTCCGCGGCTCTTTTTGTAGTAAAAATTTTTTTTGTTTGAATTATACAAAAACAACACTAATTTGAAATTTGTTGCTTACTCTTTTATGTTTACGATATTGTTCTGAAAAAGAATTTTTAGACAGCACTTCTAATGAAGAAGTTTCATATTAATAACTTGAACTACTTAACTTAATCGCTGTTTTGTAAAGTCATATGGCAATGATGAGCGGTATTGATGGACGCTGAATTAATTTCCACTGTTTAGTTGTTATGTCATTGGTTAAACCAAACAAGCGTTTAAGATACTATCTTTAAACGATTTTCTAAAAAAAAAAAAAAAAAAAAGAAAAACTGAATAAATTTAATTTATTTAAATCGACTGTTTGGCCTTGCCTATGTGGTTTTAAACTCGAGGAAAAAGGAGAGCAAACAAGAAAAATAAGGCTGGAAAATAACTGTTGTTTTCATATCAGTGTACAGCTACGCATAAATATTGTTGCTATATTATCAGTTTATATGTATTTAATGAATCAGGGCTGATGGTTTAGGTAGACTTTCCGTTGATTTGGTATAATAGATATAAGTTTGTTAGTACCCTTATGAGACTTACACAGTTATTGTATTTATGAGAGAATTGTTCGTTGTCTTGAATATTTTATTATATGTACTTAAAAAATGTAATAAATTAAAAAATAAGAAAACAGGGCAAAAATTAAAAATATTCAAGAATTATGGAATTTTTTTCAAAACTAGATACAATAGAAACGGAATTTAAAAATGGAAAACTGAGACGCGATTTTGTAATACTTTTACTAATATTTTGTAAATGCTGGTTATTTTTTTTAAAAAAATAAATCTAAAATTAATGGTTTCCAAATCAATAACTCAAGCTTGTCCAATCTTTTTTAATATTTTCAAAATACTTTATCAAAGATGAAATTGTTTTTTTTTTTTTTTTTATCACAACAGGGTTTTTTGGCCGGTTTTTTTTTTTTTTTTTATAAATAATATTGTTCTTGTTACCGAATAATTTATAATATTTCTAAATATTTTCTATAAGGTTTTTTTATTATAAAATTTTAGTGATTTATAAAATAATAGATGTCTTACCAACTATTTTTGTACACATTTTTATTTTAATTTTTTTTTTTTGTGAAATGAACTGTTCACGCAATTAATAGGCATGTTATGCAAATTTTATAATATTCTTAACATTCTTACGTAAAAAATGCCTGCTTTTGTAAATGAATATTTACAAGAGAAATAGATCCAAAAATTTAACTCATTTTGTAAATTTTCTACACCATTTTACAAAAAAAGTAGTTTACTTTTTTTTTTTTTTTTTTTGAAATCCACAGTAATAAACGTAAACTTTTTCTTGATTTTTTCTAAAGGCAAATGATATGGAAGACCCAGTCTTCGTATCGTTATTAATCGCTAGCCAACACAACATGAACAACAATCTCCAAGGCAGGTCCCAACATCATGGTTGATAGCCATTAATTATTAATTAATTATCTACACGGCAATTTCAAATCAACCATTTTACTTTCCAAACGATAATTTTTTTATTTTAGAATAAGGCTTGATTTGGCTCTCTGCAACTTAGACGCAAAGTACAATTGGATTAAAAATAACTTTTTAATATATTTGGTTTGAACTTGCACGAAGAACAAAAATGCGCAGTCTTTTTAAGAATTTTTTTATAGTTTTTAAACCTGATAAATACTTACTTTCACATTTAAAATTACAAAATAAAAATATTTAAAAATATAATAATAGTTATAACCGAATTTACATTATTTGATTTAAAAATAATTTTAACAAAATATTTCCATTTTAAAAAAAAATTATAGAAACACTAGAAAAGGATTTGGTTATATTGAAATCATTTGTCTTAGAGTTGTCTTATTATTACTTCTGTTTGATTATTTTTAATTTTATATTGAATTTTAGATCAACATACTTTAAGAAAAGTTTACGATTTTATCTATAGGAAAATTAAAATTAAACTCGCATCATCCTTGTATTTTGAAAAATACATTAATATATTCCTAAATTTTGCCTTCCGTTTTACTATCCTAACCTCCGTCTATATTTTGTATTGTTCCGTTAAAATACTTAAAGAGAAAAAGGCAAAAATTTCCTAAACCTTCCGTCTATATTTTGTATTGTTCGTTACCAATGCTTAAAGAAAGTGCAAAAATACCCCTGGAGGATGTTTTTCTTTCTTCTTGTTGAGCGAACAATAACATACAAAAAAGTTATATTTTCTCGAACTCGACTTCAATGTTTTTTGCTTGTATAAAGTCCCTCAATCTTTTGATTCCTTCTTTTTCAAGAGAAATATTGAGAATAACCTAAAATGAGGAACAATCGTGAGACAGTATATTTAACACCCTGTCGTTATCAATGTCCTAAACATATTTTTGCTTCAATGAAACAAAAGAAAAGAAAAAAGGCAGTATCTATATTAAGCTTTATTGTTTACACAAAAGGGGCCATACGTATCAACCCTTTCCTTCCTTGTGTTGTGTTTGCCCGTGTTTGAAAGGTCCCATTTATGTTACAGAGTTGGCAGGAGATCAGATGCTGCAAAAGAATTGGCGCATGTTAAAGTGGGAAGGATCCCCAAAGACTTGCGCTTGGCATCCCGTGATTCACAAACTAGTGACTTTTTGTAGCAAAATTTACAAAATTAGCCATTTAATTCAGGTTAGTAGTTCCTAGACAATGAATCTGCCTATTAATGAATCTTTTATTTTGTGATAACCTAGGTGATATAGCATTCCTTGAAAATCAAACTCAATAAATCAAAAGACAACTATTATATTGCGACTCATAGAAATAATTCTATCGGCATTTAGGCATGGCTTGAGAATTGAGCCTCATTTGAATCATAACACCCACAGATTCTAAAAAAAACAAACATAAAAACATTACCTGAAGCAGCTGCATGTGATGGTAATTATTTACGGCTTTAGGCTAAACTCAAGTTGTTTGCTTATGCAAGAATTCTACTGGTTGATGTTCATGCTTTTGGGAAGATCACGATTTTTCTGTCAAACCGTCCTGTTTTGGATAGCAAGTTGTATAATCTAAATTATGATGCATTGTTAAATGCCCCTAATTCAAGGTGCATGGTGAGGGAAACCTCCAAGGCGGTCCATTCTTTTGAGAACATACTCGGGTTAACTTGTACTGCAATCAAGTGCAACAAAGCAAGGATAAAGTTTGTCTATTTTTTGCTATGCAGGTTGAAGAGATTTTATTTTTAATTATAATAGAACAATATGATTAATAATCACATGTTAATGTGCAATTTCTTTTTTAAAATTTTATTCTCAATTTATAAACATATTGGGTTAAATCTTGTTAAGTACATTTCTCCCAAATATATATATATATATATTATTATATTTCTGCAAAAATATTCCCTCTTCTTCAATTATCTTTGTCTCTCGTCTGCCTCTAATCCTCAATATAACTTTTACTAATGCAACAAAATTTTCTGGCAACTTCTCAATTTTTCAAGTTCCTTGGGCTTTCTCAATAAACACCAACGATTGCCACCTTTTTGGTGAGGCAAAAAGAATGATGGGTTGCTGGCAGTTGAGCTTCCAAAAAGAACTTTGCTCTCTCTTGCTAACAAATCAAAGTCTCTCTAAAATTTCAAAAATAAAAATTTGTAACTTATATAATTAATCCATCAAATTCCTGTGACTTTCACTAATACATGTGTTTTTTGGTGTAATTTTCAATTTTTTTTTCTGCAAACTAGATGTTTCTTCTTCTTTAAAGTTGGTTGATGAATTTGAGTTTTGGAAAAACCTCGATTGGCCTGAACTTCCCATTCGGAGATGAGAAATCATGGCATATACTTAAAATATTAACTTTGGAAATGGCAAGCCAAGTAAAAAAAAAAAAGACTAGAATGCTTGGAGTGTATGTGTTATTTTAAAAATTGAAGCTCAACAATCAAGAAAGTGTAGACATAATTTCTCAGCATTTAATATATAATGTGTTTCATAGTGACAAGTTATCAACAACTCCTTTCATTTTCATTTTTTATAGTTACAATGGTCATTTTTTATAAATTTGGCCAACAAAATTAAAAGTTGTAATATTAAAGTTAAAATAATGCCACATGAAATTTAAAGTTAAGCCTTAATTATTTTGTAATGTTTGGATGAATATATATCCACTTTTTTATCCGTTGTAAAATTTTAGCTACAACCGTTAAATGTCAGAAAAAACATATTATATGTTATATTCATTAAGTTTTGGAACGGCACGTTTTCTTTTTTAAAAGTGTGGGGTTGTGTTTTGATTATTGAAAAAATAGGAAAAATTTAGAGTTTGGTTAGAAAAACCATTTCTCTTATTAATCATGCACTTTTTAAAATACTAATAATTTTTTTTTTAATCCTGTGGTTATGGTTGTACTTTTTTATAAAGTCAACTTTTGTAGAGTTTTTTGTTAATAGTAGTTGTAAACTATTGTAAAACATTTTGAGGCCTTGTTATTAGTGGTGCATTTTTTTCAATACTTAACTGTTTTCTCTATTATTAGGTACATTTATGAACTTCTATTAAGCCACTTTGTGGGTGTTGTTATTTTG